AGTGTGCCTCTTCTTTCTTGTTCATGACCAATAAATCTGGAAAATTGCTCATCTTTCTAGATTGGATTCCATTCACCTGTCCGTTTTCTGTTTTGTGGCTCTGGTTAGCTCCTTCTATCTGGTTATTTGGGGGATTAGCTTGCACTGCTCTGACCCCTTCTTACACCAGATACTTTGGCTATTTGCCCTAAGCTTTCCATTTCATACCAGAAGAAGCCGTTAAAGCTGTATGTATTTCTCTCAGCACTTTCAACTTTATCCCACAAATCTCAAAATGTGGTGATTCTACTTTCATTTTGTTCAAAGTATTTCCTATTTCCATTGTTACTTCTTAGAACTATGAATTTTTTTTTTTTTCAGAACCGGGGATTGAACTCAGACCCTTGCACTTGCCAGGAAAGTGCTTATTCCACTCAGCCATCTCCCCGGCCCCTATGAATTATTTTTAAATGTGCTGTTTGGCAGTCAAAGATGCAGTGATTTCTCAATATCTTTCTGTTACTGTTTTCTCTCTGTTGTGGTCAAGCGTGATACACTATTTAAGTCCTCTGGAATGGGCTGCAGTTTAGGAATCAGCTGGTGATTTATTTTTGTTCACATTCAACAGAACATCCTCTCTGCTGTTGTACGTGGAATATCATGCAAGTATCCATTCACAGGTTGGCCTATGGAGGTTTTCCTATACATTTAGCAATTGTTATGGTTTAGTTCCCCAATGTCCCCAGAAGTTTCATGTGTTCAGGGGATTTGGGAGAGTGACTGGATCATTGGGGTATTGTATTCTTCAGTGGATTCATCCTTTGATGAGTTCACTAACTGAATGTGCTGTCAGGAGGCCTGTCCCCAGCTCCTACCTTCTCTCTGGGCTTCCTGATGCTGTTACAGCAGTGTTAGGTTTAGGAGGTGAAGAAACCAAGCAGCACTCCAAGAAGTACAGGGAACCTGCACTTTATTATCAGTGTGCTCAGAGGAGCTGTGTGCTCCAAAGCCTGAGCCCCGAGCATAAGAAGTTACCTTTATATCATTTATGAGGTAAGGTGGAGTTCCTTTGTGAGTAAGTAGAACTTAACAAATATGGGAAACAACAGAAAACAGAAAGAGGCCAGGTACAGCTTGTACCTCTGGTACATCTTATGATTAGCAAGCCTGTTTACAGAAGCAGGAGGAACACTGCAGACTATTGACACATTTGGATTTCGAAACAAAAGTTCTTCTACACCGCCATGAGGTAATTATCTTTCTTCTACCATATCCTTCCACTGTGATATTTCTTCCTTGGAGCCCGCTGACCATGGACTGACAACCCTAAAACCATTAGCTCAACTAATTTGTAACTGAATATTTTGTCCCAGAGACTGGAAAGTGACAAAAAATCAATGGTATCAAATTTGGTGACAAATGCCTGATCATCTTCCCTCTAAGTGTTTCTCCTGCCCTCATCCTCTGGGCCCCGTGTACATGTCTGTCTCAACACTTACTCATGTGCCCTGAGCCACATTGCTCTTACAATGTTTTAAATGCTTTATTTCCTCATGGTCCTTTGGTTTGGATAGCTGCCATGTCTTCAGCTGACTGATCTTATCTTCTGCATTGTCTCCCCTTGAGGTTCATCTTAATTTTGATTCTTAGGTTCTGTGTCTTAGCTCCATTTGGCTCCCTACCCTCTCCTCCTTGTGTTCCTATTTCTTTTTGTTGCTAGTACACCTAGGGTTCTGTTGCCTGATTCAGATGGAAGTTGTGAATTGGCAAAGTGCAGCTCTGTTAACAGTCCTAGTAACAGCACATAATGCCAGGTTCTGGAGAGAGGAGCCAGGCTGATAGTCAGGCTTTACCCATGTTGGAGTAGAATGGGAAACAGTGACCTCTAGACATCCAGGAAAGCCACTGAAGCAGATTGTCAGAGCACAAGCAAGATATCTCAGTCCAAGGTAGGGGATAGGGATGGGCCCTGCAAGCCCACAGCCTATGTGGGGAATACAGGAAAATCCAGCATTTCTCACATTTCCTTCCAACTGCCTGTATGTCATTATGACAGTTTCTGCTCTTCTGTCTCCTGATTCCTCTGCCACTACTGAGTTTGTTCTATGCCTTGATCATGAGCTGCAGTGTCCTCTTCCTATGCCTAGTCACAAGAGCCCAGAGTTTCTTTCCATGAATGAGCAGTGATTCCCTTCCCACTTTCCCTGGAAGTAGCTCAGGCTTCCTAGGGTTCCTGTGTTTCTCTGGGTTGATGCAGACTCAAGCCTTGACTCTAGGGCAAGATTAGTGTTTTCACAGGACATGGCTCCCATCCAACCTGATGCATCTGTAGGTCAGGGAGCCCCCCTGTTCTGGTTGTCTGGAACCCAAACATCTCCAGGCCTTTGGGAAATGACATGCCCCCAGGAGTCTGGGATGGTGAGGAGGAATCCCCACAGAATCCACTCCCATATGCTCACAGTTACCAGAGATACCTGCTGCCCAGGGTCCTCCATAAGGACACCTGGCCATGGGCCCTTCAGGACACATGACCTCAGCCTAGCTTCTATGGGCTTCTGGGCTCTGTGACAAATGTCATGGTCCCAAGACCAGTGTGCACTGCCTCCACAGACTCCATGTTGAATGGGTGGACCTCAGCCCTACAGGGTGCATTGAAACCAAGCTGGAGATAGGGCTTGGGTGGTGGGTGAGCATGAGTGGGAGGAGTGTGACTTAGACTCTCCACAGCTCACCTGTCCTCCTCATGACTGCATGGAATGGGCACTTAGAGTCAGAGGGGCCACATAGAATCTAAAGCTGGATGAGATGGGTACTTTGTTGTGGGCCCTCAACTATTCCCAGGTTAAATGTATTGAATGAAGACATCTTGAAAAAAAGATGGAAAGACAGGCATCTAGACACAAGCAAGGTGAATGCTCCATGTGGTGATAGCAGCCTTCAAAGTCAGGGTCAGCCCTGGTTAAAGGGCAGCTGAGACCAGAGTGAGACTGGGTTTAACTCTGCCCCAGGCATGGGGAAGCAGAAGCCAGGGTGTGGGTCTCTGGGACACTCTTGCTGGGGCCTGGTGACTATCACCAGGTCTTCAGTGGGTCAAGATGGTCCTGAATACAGTGTAGTTTTATGTCTTAGTCACCACCTGTGTCTGCCAGCTCCCCATCATGTAACAAATGTCAGATAGAATCAACTTATAAAAAGAAAGGGCGGGGCTGGTGAGATGGCTCAGTGGTCTAAAGCACCTACTTAGAACAAGCTTAGCAAAGCACAGGGACCACGGTTCAATCCCCCAGCACCACATGCCAG